ACTAAATTCATCCACTTTGGCTTGCCATAATGTTTCCCCAAATGCCTTAAACAATATTGAAACATTTGCTCTTCAACAGTGACTCTTCACTGGGTTTAAAAATGCAGTCACCACACTGTGAGTACAAGGTGCTCCTGATGACCTGACCACCTCCCCAACTTTCCCTCATAACAACTTTGTCCTATGCCATTATATTCCACCTGCCTTTGCGTTCAAAAATATCTTTTACTTCTGGCTTTCTTTCTCTTCAAGAGCTCCTCTTTCCACCTGATACCCTCTTTTCTCTGCTCTTACATGAGAAGTATAAAGCAAATTTCATACCTTGGGTTAAATATTACTCCATAGACTCACTCTGTCCACTCCTGGTCCTTATACATTCTTGCATTGTTTTGCAGCACTTAGGGCAATTTGCTACAAATTTAGTGAGTCTTTTTGGATAATTCTCTGTCTGTCTCACCCACTAGACTCCAGGTTCCACAGGTCAGGTATTATATCTGCCTTGTTTACTATGGGGTGCATGTTCTCCCTGTACTTCAGGGCTTGTGTTCTTATTCCCAGGGCTGTAATAAGACATTTGGAGTCCTAAAACAATACAGTACAAACATCATGAAAAGTTTCACATAGATTCCTGCAAAAATAAACATTATACTACAATTAGAATAAATCTTGCATCTAAACTGAAATTGACCTGGCGTATTTCTATATTTTCTGACTATCAAAAGTTTGGAAAAAGTCATTAAGCTGACATTGTTCTGATTTCTTTGGTGTCCCTGATATTTTCACAATCTAAGCCCATGTATTGTTTGCCACTGTATGGTTGATACATTGTGTCAACTTGAGAAGTCTAGAAGCTTAACTAAGTAACTCAACAGTTCAACATCCTGGGGTGAAAAGGACATGCCTTTAATACTCTAGGATGTTCTTTGTGTCAGGATGAGAAGTTTAGAAGGTTAACTATGTGACTCAGCAGGGGACCAGAGCCCCTACTTTGTATTCATCCTGAGCCTGTGCAAGAGGATGGCCTGGAGATGGTGTGAGTATAAAGGACCACACCCCTCAGGGCGGGTAGGCTGCATACAGTGAAAGGGAAATGAGGAAGGACTGATTGTTGGTTCTTTACGGGAGCTCCAATCTTGGCTTTCTGCTTGTCTCTTGGCTTCTGGTGCAGACTGTTTGACTTCTGCCTGGGACTCTTCAGCCTTCTTGTGTAGACTCTTCAACCTTCTGTCACAGACAAATCAGTCTCCTGATACGGACCTCCACAGACACTGCAGTGAACTTCTGACCTTGGGCTGAATCTTTCAGTCTCCAGTGCACAGACACCCTCTGCATGCTTCCTCATCCAACTCCGAGGCTGACCATTGTAAGCCAAACTTTTAATTTCTTACACATTTGTATATCTTGTGTTATATCTGTTTCTCTAGTACACCCTGACTGATACAGCCGCTGAGTCACCTAAGCCTGGTGATGGTGACTGAAAGGAAGCACCTGAAAGGAAGAAGCTGTTTCTTGTTTTTGTATCAGGGCAAAGTTCTTGTGTTTGTATCAGAGCAAAGACAACCACCAAACATGTAAAACTTTCATGTAAATCTTATTTAAAGAATCCAATTGAGCAGTGGTTATTGCCGATATCACTTTGCATCTTCCCATTTTAATTGTTGTCAATTTGTGATCTTTCCACCTCAAAGCTTGTCAATTCCTTAGCTCTTGATAAAGTTTAATCCTCCAAATGAATTGACAGGAAAAAAATGGTGGAATGAACTTGCTGTGTTTATGTGTTTTGAGAAGTGAGGAGGCAGAATCTTTCAACAAATCTGTAGGAAAGAAATACTTGACACAATTAACTTATAGAAAGAGAAGCGTTGTTTTCATTCATAACTCTGGAGATTTTGCTCCAAGGCTAAAAGTCCGGAATTGCTTTGGGTCCATGGCATAGAATGCTGAGAAAGTGTGGTGGAGCTAACTGCTCAATTTATGGGGGGGGGGGGGGGAAGCAGGGAGAGGATGAGGGTGAGGGAGAGGGAGAGGGAGAGGGACAGAGTGAGACAGATCAGGCTTCCGCCATTCTCTTCCTCTTCCAGGGCATGTTCTCAATGGATTGACCTAAACACTCTTTTCTAGGGTCCGCCTCTTAAAGTTTCCATCATCTCCCAGCATTACCACCCTGAGGACCAAGCCTTGAGCACAAGTCCCTCTGCAGAACATTCATCAAAACTATGGCACAAGACAGAAGTGGTCCAAGGCTATGCAGGGAGTCACCATGAGTGTTAGGAATGTCGAGGTCACAGGATGGGTCCAATACACTTGCTCACTTATACTGTCAATAAAAGATATGCAGTGAGATCAGAGTCACATCTTATTCTTAGTCAGCTCAATGACAGGGTTACTGCTTGCATTTACTGTTCTTTGTAAATACACAATATGCTAATAAACTTTTATAGACAGGGTAAACAACAGTCACATCTGAACTCTCTTTTTGTCCTTTCTTTGGGAAAACAAGGGCATTTGCCTATCTCTGTGAGAAATTCCTAATGTCTGGCAGCAGATTTGCAAGCGTAACAGCCAGTATTTAGAACAATCCCAAGTGAATTGAGTGGACAATCTGGAATCATGGGCTATATATAACTGTAGTTATTAAAATTATGTTCATAAGGTTATTAACTTACATTGTTTATTTTTTACCACATGGTAAATGTTCCTTAGTACTTGATACAAACAACTTTGAGCTTCAAGATAACACAGCCTTATGGGGTAAGTGTGATGTAATGTCATACAGATGAAGAAACTGAGGCATAGAAACATTTAAGCAAACTGTCAGTCACTCAGAAAAGCACTAGCATAGCCTGGATCAATCCAGGCAGTCTGTCTCCCACACCCACACTCAACAGCTTCCTTCCATTTTGCTGTGGTGTCATCTGAAATTGTAATGCTGAATTGGAGTCAAGATCTACACCCTGTACTTTTTCAGGTTCTCACAGAGTTCAGAATTCAAGCTGCAAAAGTCCCTATGGAGGTAGACAGCCTGATCACCATTGTACTATTGGACAAGAAGCTGTTAGAAGGAAATCAGTGCTTCCTAAAAAGCACCATGCACACCCAGTGAGGATGTGCTATAGGTTTTGAGTGTAAAGGAATAAGCATTTAAATTTTAATAGCGACTTTTAAAATCAATGGTTGATGGATTTTATGCTAATGGGCATATAAGCTAAATAAAATAGCATAATCATCTTCACTTTTTTTTTTTTTTTTTTTTTTTTTTCTCCGGTACCGGGAACCGAACTCACGACCTGGCACTTGCCAGGCAGGCGCTTTGCCGCTGAGCTAAATCCCCAGCCCCTTCATCTTCACTTTTAATTATGATATGTCAAATATATATAGGGAGAAATAATATTTACTAACATATGACTGTGAGTCAATATATGTTTAATACTTTATTTATTTATTTGTTTATTCATCCACAAACACTTATGAGCACCTAATAAGGTCTAACACTGGTCACAAATCAATACACAAGTAAGCAACAATGCTTATACTTTCAGAGCTTACATTCTAGTTGGAAGACTCAAATTACAAAAAATATAAAAGCACAAGGTATATTAGTGCCAGAATTAGAACCTAGGCTGACTGACTCTGAAATTGCTATTCTTGTTTGAACCTGTAAATAATTGACATGAAGCACAAAGATTATCTACATTCTGTTGAGGAATTGTAGAAAAGTTTAACTATTACAATAGCAAGTGGTCTTGTTAGAAGAGTCAGTTTTAATAGTCATGTAAATTTGGGAAACTTAACACCTGCAAGATTTACAACATCATCAACTGTCAAATTTTCAAGGACATGTACTCTTTCAGGGCCTCCATATCTTGGCTACCACTACCACCATCATCATCATTATCACAACTATCATGTTGTTTCCACCTTAACTTTTGCTTCTACCTGAGATGCCATGCTCTTCCCTAAACCCCTTAGATTAAGTGATCATTGCAATGTACTACTATAGTACTAGTAATAGTGGTCATAGTAAATATTTATGGTACACTTGCCACATACCAAATGCTTTTAGTGCATTATCTCAATCTTTACCACTGGTGCATGAGATAAATACTAGTGTCATGTATAATTTATAGTAAAATGCGATATGCTTAGAGCTCATCATTGTGATTTCATTTTCCTTTTCCCTCCCTACCACTCGACTACCTGCTAGATTCTGAGCTCCAAATGGGCACCCATGAAAATTGCATGGAAGCGCCTGCCGGAAATTGAACACTCTAGTAGGAGTTTGACACTAAAAGGATCGGGAACTGTCCACCTACTGGTGCTGCTTAGAATCTTGGCTGTCCAAAGGCATTTCGGGTTCCTCATTTCCAGATTGCCTTGCCTGCGGCAGTCTCAACAACTCCAGGTCCTCTTCAGAGAAGTCAAGCAACTCACCTGAGAGAAAGTCCTGAACAATGCGAAGGAATCAGACCGTAACTTCATTGCAAAGTCTAGCCGTTCACTTTGCCTTTGACGGCCTTGAGTGGCATTGCCTAAAAGATGCTGTCAAGGATGAGCAAATCTGACTCATACTCTGCTATCACACGACGTAATTTGTTTTACATTTATTCTTTTTTTTCCTGATTGCAAATTTAACATAATTTACTGCAAAGCTATAGAAAATGCAAAAACTACAGCTAAGCTGTTTCCTGTATTTCAATCCAGATTTCTATTGCATTTCTAATATCTCTCTTCCTTTGCCGTCCCGCTTGCCCCACCTCTAAGGACCTGGAATCCAGGATAGGAGACACCAATAGCACCTCAGAGGCTGCAGCTCAACTTCACTACCTTCCAGCCCGGGCTGCTCTTGTGCCCTTTCCCCTCCCCTCGGAATCCTTCCCACCCCTCTCCTTTACCGGATGCTCACCATTGGTCATTGCCATGACAACCAGCAGCTGCCAGGCAGCCTCTTCCGCAGCAGGGGTGGGGCCGTGGGGTGGGGGAAGGAGAGGAGGAGCCAGAGGAGATGTCTGCTGCAAGTTCCTGGCCGCTTCTGAGCTCACCCCATCCTCCAAGAGGGAGGAGGCCTCAATGGTGATGCTGCCCGCCTCGCTCCAGCCGCTGCTGCTGCCTGTACTGCTGATACTCTAGAGGGGCTGGAAGGGTGGTTCCTATTCACACCGTCGCCAACCAGAGAGTGGAGGAAAAAAAATCCCGGCAATTGCTGCTGATGTTGGGTTTGGAGGCTGCATCCGACTCGGTCACAAGGAAAATGGATTCAGTTCGCATCTCTCCCTCGTTTCAGCAGTTCCTCCGAGTCTCAGTGTGGTGAGTGGGAGGCAGCGGGGCTACTTTTCTGGTTTAGCTCGTTGTTAAATGACTTATGTGTACACATTTGCAGCCTGGACTTGAACAATGACTCCTGTCTCTCAGACTAGGAGGGGGAGACGTGGTGACAGAGATGAGGATGGAGGGAGAGCAAGGTTGCCAGGAAGGGAGAAGTGAGAAGGCATCTGCTTGTGTTTTTTTAAAAAAAGATGGTGCTCTGATTTTTATCGCAAATTGGCTCAGAATACAGACTGGGCCACTTGATTCTTTTCCTCACAAGCTTAGCAACAAAATCAGGGGGTGGGAAAAGAGCTCAGCACAAGAGAAGGGTGTTGTTGAAAGGAATCATTTCATTTGCAGCTCTAAAGGGTTGGGCCTTCCTCCGAAACACATTTGGTGGCTCAGTCTTCTTGGCCTAATTATAAGCTGGTTTTGCTAAGGGTCCCAAGGATCTAGCCTTCTATGACATCTTCTGATGTACTCTTGTTGAAAAACCATTGCCAGAGTCACACTTTCATTTTTTGCACATAGATTTGATTGTGAACATACACATATATACTGTACGGTTATTCATATTATATACACACGTTACTTAGCATTTATGTTGCATTTGTGAAGCATATTTATATGCAGCATGTGCTTTCTTTACAGTCATTTTATGGGTTATAAATGCCCTTGCATGCTTGGAAGTAATTGCATATTTTTGAAGCTATGCTGCTGGTTTGTATTACTATTCATTGGCTTCATTTCGATTAATGTGAGATTTATTCTCCTTATTGTCCCTTAGTTTCATTGTGACCAATTAGGACAGATGCCTATCATTTGATCTTTATTATAGAACTAGAAGCAGATTCATAGCTTGGCTCTTTATTTTTAATTGGGTTTGTGGGGAGTCATTTTTGAGGGCCTTGAATTTAAAATGATGGGAAAGGGAGGTGGCTTGTGTTATTATTTTACATCCAGCCTCTTGCAAATGAATGATGAAACAAATCGGTCTTCTTGAAATTCCACCCCAACCTTTTCATGTTTATACCTTGTGTCTCAGGCAGCACAGCTGAGCTGGAAGGTGAAATGCATTCATTTCATTTAATAGTGTTGCCATTGGCGCTTCATTCCTTCAGTATCGAGACACCATTTTACAGTTCTCTCAAATGTTGTTATAGGTCTGTTTCTGTGATTCAGTAGAAAAGTAGGAATGTTTTGAGAATTGAGGTGTTCTCTAGTACCCTGGGCAAGCCATTTTCAAATTAACTTGCTTATACAATGAAATGAGAGTGAGCAAAGCTTAGCAGGAGGACGTGTGATTTGCAGTTGAAATGGGAGGGGTGTAGTTTATGAATGCTTAGTCCAATCTGCTTGACCTTTTATTATGTCAAGGCTTTGAGGCAGCTCAGAGACTAAATATGCCTGAGATGAGTAGCATGCAGGGCTCCATTACCACCTAGGATAATGGATTTCATTGAATCAAAGCCAGAAAATTTCTTGCAGGTAGAAGTGCATTCGTAATGTTACATTCATCCTGTGCACTAGTTTTATCCATCAGTCTTTTCGCCAACAATATCATTGTTAGGGCAAACAATTTTGTGCTGCAAAGTAACAGTATTGTTTTGGTTTTAATCTTGTGTTTTATTTTATACATTGCCCCATTGTTTATGATTTTTACATGTGTCAGGTTTATGGTTTTGTTTCTTTGAGAAGAAGTGTCCTATTTGGTTTATATATGAGATGGTTCTTTAGTGACAGTTTAACATGCTCAGAGCATGTAATATATTATATAGAGTCACAACTTTGTAAACTCATGGTACTGTGTGCCTAATTGTAAAAACTATACAAAGTAGGATAAGGGAGAAAGTACTGGGCTTGTATGTGGTATCAAACATTTTATCGCACAATGTATCCTGAATTTTTCCATGATAAGATTTCTGAATTCCAAAAGATAATTTTTGACTTCCAAAAATGAACGTTTCAGATATATCTACAGTAAACCTTAGAATATCAAGGTGTGATAATTGACTTCTGTTCCATACAGTGTAAACAAATATGGTGGGGGACTTTGCTTTTATTTCCTTTGTGCTGATTTTTTATCTAGATGTAGTTTTGTGGGCAAAGTTGGTACAGTTTGAACAGAGACATATTACCATTGCTCATGGGCTTGGCACTCGCTGTAGTCTGTTTCAGCTCTATGGTTAGATTGTCTCTGAAGAAATATAATGAAACTAGGGTTATTTCCTTTGCAAAGGCAAACACTTGAGCTAAGACAATCATATGCTTTACATAGGGCATTGCTTATTGCTGTAATTTAGAACTCAAAATATGGTCAATGGGCTTCAACTTCTTGAGGAAGAATGAAAATCTGAAACAGAAAATGTAGAAGTTCCTCAGAGTAAATGTAAGTCACAGAGATAACTGGATGATACAGGGTTCTCTTGTTTCATCCAAACCTCCAAAAAGTATGATTGAGAAATACATTTATCTAGGCTGGATTAGATTCCTTTTCAGGAAATCCTCTGGCATTTTTAGAGTAAATCATCCCTCTTAAGAGTGTGTGGTTGTTGCTTAACATTAGGTATTTCTAGATCTATAACAGACTCCATTTTGTAATGGGCTTCTATATTACAAAATCTGATATTATTCAAGAAACCAATTAATCATCTGTGTGGAGAAATTTTTATGCAATCTTACCAGGATACAGGGATTATCTTGTTTATGAAAACCTTTTTTTCTCAGCCTCTTTGCATTATGATGCTGAATAACTACACTAAAATTACCCCCCATTATATGGTTAATTTTTTAAAAAATGTAATGTGTTACTCAGTGAAGTTTAGATCGCACGTATGATCAAAATACATGGCAGAAGTTTAAATTTTAAAAAATTATTATAGCAAAAGACATATTGCCATTTGTTTTAACTACCTTCTAAACAGTTCTGGAAGTCTTCTTTCACAAGTGTCTTTAGTTGCACTGTTGTGGGTGCCTCAGTGTCCTGAATCAATGCAGAATGTTTACATTTCATGGTCATTTTGATTTTGAGGAAGAGCCAGAAGCAGAAGTTACAAAGTGCCAGATCCAGTAAGGTGGGTGAGGACACACAACGGTGTTTTTATTTGACAGAAATTGATCAGTGAGGGGTGATCCACATATACAATGAATATTTAAATAAAAAATTTATTAAAGTAAAAGAAACTTTGTCATCTTAAAGACACTCAGAATACTCCCTTTCATTTATAACAAACTTATGCCAACATTCTTGGCAATATGTCTTTTGCCATAACAAGTTCTTTTCTCAAATTTAAATATTTACGGTAATTTCTGATCATCCCTTGTACAAAATAATTAAAGACCTACCAAGTTGATGCCAGAAAAAATAAATTATGATGAAGGATATATACAAATTATTTAAATGTGTTGAGTGATATTAATTTTCATCCAACACAGTCTTGAAAAGGCCATTCATGTTAGAATACTAAAATTAAATAATTCAGCTGCTATGTAAGCTTTCAATAAAACTTGTTTTAATTAAAATACACATTATTTAATTCATTGCTTTATGATAGGATGTTTCACATATTTTCAATTGCCTATATTTCAATGACTCATTTTATTTCCACTTAAAAAAATATATCAGCCAGGCATGGTGGCACACACCTGTACTCCCAGCACTTGGGAGGCTGAGGCAGAAAGATTGTTACAAGTTTGAGACCAGCCTGGGCTACAAAATGAGCTCAAGGCCAGCCTGAATGCATAGAGAGACCCTGTCTCAAAAAGCCAAAAAAAGAAAAAAAAGTCATGTACTATGGTTTGCTTTTTGACCCTATTAAATTTCATTGGCCTAAATCTGTGTTTAGAGTATTCTCTAAGAAAACAAAGAAAATGACACAAAAAATTTTGAAGAAAATTGAGGTTTCTTAATATTTCAGAAAAGCATGGAAGCATCTGGGTAAAAATCGTGGCTTTGTTGGACTGATATGTAAGTATTTTACGATAAAATATTTTTTAATGACACAGAGATTGGGGGGTGCTATGGTTTAGATCTTAAATGTCCCCCAAAATTCTCATATATTCATTCATATATGGGACTTTTGAGAGGTAATTGGATAATGATGTGCTGTACTTATCACTGGACTAAATCACTGATGAGTTCATGCGCTGTTAGGACTCGTGCAGGTCCTGGTCAAAGACACAGGTCAGTGTGCCAGTGTAGGGGTAAGACTTGGAAAGATGTTTCCTTGTCCTTGTCCTTGTCCTTGTCCTGAGCCTGTCTCTCTCTCTCTCTCTCTCTCTCTCTTGCTCGCTCGCTCGCTCGCTTGCTCTCGCTCTCGCTCTCCTATTCTTCCTGTCCCCTTCCCCTCCCCCTACTTCCCCCTCCTCCTTGTCCTTCTTCTTCTTTCTCTCCCTCTCTCTGCCCTCCTTCTCCTTTCCCTCTCCCTCCCTCCTCCTCCTTCTTCTTCTTTTCTTCTTTCTTTATCTATCTCTATGTCTGTCTCTCTCTGTCTCTCTGTCTCTGTCTTTCTCTCTGTCTCTCTCTGCCTTCTGGCCACCATGGGGTGAGTAACTCTCAAAAGCCCTGCACTCCACCATGTAGTTTCTGCCTTGGAGATAGCTGACCATGGACTGAACCTACTGGAACTCTGAGCCAAGTAAACCTATCCTCCTTGAACTTGCAGGTATTGGGTATTTTGTCCCAGCTAGGGGATAGTGAGTAATATAGAGAGGTAACGTTTTTTTTCTGTGCTTAGAGCACATTACAATTTCTACACGTCCTCTTTCTTGAAAAACAATACCCCATCTACTACCTGTGTCCTAAGCATTTCTCCACTCACATGTTTTTAAAAATAAAAATGATATGAAGGCTGGGCATGGTAGCACATGCCTGTAATCCTAGCATTTTGGAGGCTGAGGCAGGAAGATCACTGTGAGTTTGAGACCAACTTAGGTTACAAAGTGAGCTCAAGGCCAACCTGAACTGCATAGCAAGACCTTGTCTCAAGAAAAAGACAAAA